CTCTGAAATCCACCAAAACCAACAAAGCACCAACAGAAGCCACGGATCTGCTCCATTAGGAGCAGATCTTAGCTCCCTATACAGTTCTGGAAGCTCCTTGGGAAAATTCAAAGACGTAGACACAGAATAAGGGGTGACCAGGATGCAGCTATTAAGTATCACAAACAAGCTCTCCAGAAGTTTCCTAAAAAAAAAAAAAAAAAAGAGTCATGACCTCTAGCGAGGGAAACAATGGGCGCCAGCACCCCAAGAGTGCCAAGACCCAGCAGGCTGGCCATGGCCTTGTTGTTCGCCATCACGTGTCTGAAACAACCCTGACGACTGAGTTAAGAAAAAAATGTGGCAATCAAGAAAACTTGTCATGGTCTCTGCTCTCTTGACTCACTGAAAATCACAAGGAGAGCTTTGGTTTGAAGGTGACACTGGGTCTAATAGCCTGGGCCGGCAAGTTTCTGAGATGTCTAGCAGCGAGCTGGAGTCACCAGAGGACCTGTCTTCAAGGATGGACCGGAAAGAGCCAGAGTTCAAGTCTGGGAGGGAGGTAAAAAGGTAAACTCTCTCTCTCTCTCTCTCTCTCTCTCTCTCTCTCTCTCTCTCTCTCTCTCTCTCTCTCCCTCTCCCTCTCTCTCTCTCTCTGTTGATATGGGTGTGTGTGTGTGTGTGTGTGTGTGTGTGTGTGTTTGTAAGGGTTCTGTGTGAACATGGGGGAGGGCTCACTCGTGTGTGTGTGTGTAGGCCAGAGGTCGGTCATCCAGTGTCTTCCTCGATTACTCTTCCCATCATATGGGTCTCATGGACCAGGCTCAGATAGTTAGGCTTGGCAGAAAGTGTTTTTACCCACTGAGCCACTCCATAGGCCCACAACCATATTTTTTTGAGACAGAGTCTCTCATTGAACCTAGAGTTCAATTTAGACTGACTGGCTAGAGAGTCCCAGATTTCCAGCCTCCCTTCCCAAGTGCTGTGATCACAGGCACATGCCACCATACCATCTGTTTATGAATGCTGGGATCTGAACTCAGATCCTCCTACTTGTGCAGCAAGCACTGTTGCCACTGAACAATGCCCTCAGCCCCTCAGCCCATGACGACCACCACACCTGATGGCTGCTATTGTTCTTCTGAATGGAAGACAATTCCCCATCACTCTGGGCCAAAACCCAAAAGAATGAGGGGCTCACCAGCTCCCCCACACCAAGCCATGAAATACATGGACAAGTGAAAGCTATGGACTGGCCTACCAGAGGAGAGTACAGCAAAGTAGAAGGATATCATGAAAGAGAATTCAAGACACTGAATAACTTACTCTCATACACACTGTGCATTGGGAAGGAAATGTCTGTATCCCCAGGCTCCTTACTAAAGGGGGAGAACAAGGGGCTGGTGACCTATCAGTACCTAGATGGGAAGGGAAGACAAGAATAAACAGAAAGAAAGGCTAGCACAGACTGAGACCAGGGAGCAAAGCAAGGCGGCATTTTATACTGCTTTTAGTTCTCCCAGTTCTATCGTCTGGTAACACAGAAGGCAAACTGTGAGGAAACACCCCAGGCCTGGCAGTCCTTCTGAAGGCTGACACCCTCAGACACCTATAGGTAGTTCTCACCCCTGCCCTGATTGCTACCCCTTAGTCCCTGTGTGCTCTTTGATTCTGTACTGCACCTTAGTCACTGCTCACTATTGTGTGCTCAGTTTTTCCCATGGAGGAAGTGAGGGCGAGCGTTTCCCACTTCTGCCATCTACCGGTGAAAGTGAAGATGTTCTGTTATTCTCTTAACTGTTGTCCACTGAAAACTATGTTGGCATCTGAAAGCTTATTGGCATAACACTCATTTGTTATGTGGGTACATTTAAGGAAGGCAATACTGCTACTGGTAGCTGATTCCTTTTGTTCTGTAAGTGCTCAAGTGTACAATGTGGAATACATACAAAAGATACACATACACGTCATATTAAGACTGAGATTGCGAATCAACTTTGCTTTTGCTTTGTGTGTGCTTTTGTGTGGGTCTTTTGATCTAAAACTTTTTTATATCTATTTATCAGAGGTAGGATGACAACATATCACAGCATGCATGTGGACATTAAGAGGAAAATTTGTGAGTTGGTTCTCTCATAGGAGTTCTGGGAGATCAAATTCAGGTCCTCAGGTTTAGCAACAAGTGCCTTTACCTGCTAAGCCATCTCACTGGCTCTTTTTTTTTTTTTTTTTTTCCAAAAGATGGGGTTTCATGTAGCCCAAGCTGGCTTCAAACTACCTATGCAGCTGACCCTGGCCTTGAACTCCTGATCCTCCTGCTTATTCCTCCTACAATCTGGGATTGCTGGTATCAGAAGAACAGATAGATGGCTGTTAGCAGACAAAAGCTCTGCAGTGGTTTGAGAGTGGCCTCAACAGGCTCATATATTTCAATGCTTGGTTTCCAACTGACAGGGCTGTTTGGGAAGAATTAGATGTGTTCTTGGAATAGGTGTGTCACTGGGGGTAACCTTGGAGGCTTCAAAAGCCCATGCCAGGCCCAGTCTTCTTCACTCTGCTCTGTTTGTGGATCAGATGTAAGCACTTACCTACTGCTCTAATACCATCCCTGCCTGCCTACTGCTGTGTTCCCTACCATTGATGACCATGGAGTAACCCTGAAACTATAAGCAAGCCCCCAATAAATGCTTCCTTTTATAGTTGCCTTGGTCATGGTGTCTCTTCACAGCAACAAAGAGTAACTAAGACAAGCTCCAATGGTATCAACAGGTACCAGGTCCTACAGCAGTGTGGCCTCCAGCTGAGCCCATTCTTCTGTCTTCAATCGGGGCGCAGAGCTCTTGACTCTGAGGTGTGACTGTTTGGCGATACTTCCCAGACCTCAAGTTTCTGCAGTTATTTTTAGCTGTAGTTTTAGTGCATTCTTGAGACAGGTGAGGCATGAAGAATGTAGGTGTGGGTCACCCTTGAATCTCCAGTGCTTGGGCTGAGTCTCTTGTCATTCCAGCCCAAGAGTGACTCACACTCTTTTATTATCTGCCCCAAGGCTAGGTTTCACCTCAAGAACTCTGGATTAGATCTGCCATAGCCTATTCTCTAATTTCTTTTTGAGGACATGCCTTCTTCATGCTTTGTTACCTGCATCTGATAAGGTGGATTCCTTCATTTTCTGTAACCAACACCACTGCCCTCTGGTTCTTTCTGGTCCCATTTCCCAGAGCTTTGAGGCACTTGGCATATGGCATCAGACGTAGGAGGTAGATGGCTCAAAGACAGGAAGCTCCCTGGAAAGCTCTCTGGCTCTCATCCAGACGTCTATGAAGAGCTAGACAAATTCTGGGGTGTTTGTTGCATTTTTATGATACCAAGAAAGAATACAATGATCCAGTTGAGTCTTGGCTCCTCAGAGCAACAACTGAGCTCCACCTCCAAGCCTGACCCAGCAGGTTGTGTGTATATATGTGGTATGTACTGGCTTTCTTGTGTGCTCACATATGTGAGCCAGAGGTCAATGTCCGGTGTCTTCCTCAATCACTCTTTAAAAAGTCTCTCCAAAAATATGCATGTATCTAAGCTCCATAAGCCACTGTCTAGAAGGAAAAGTCCAGGCCGTAACACTTCTATAAAACCACCTGTAACTCTCTTTACTGTGCCCTCCGTCACTTCCCCAATACAATTTTAATTTGCTTCTTAAGTTCTTCATAGGGAGAAAATGTCAGCCATCAGCCATCCACTGACGCAAAATAAAGTTACCACCAAAGCCACCTTGGAGAAGCCTATCAGGAAAACATGACTAGTGGAAGATGAGCCCCAGGGGTGCCCAACTCTAACAACTGCTCACAAGCACGGCCCCTCCCACTTCCTTTGGTCTGTCCGACTCCTCTAACTCATCCTTCACTCAAATGCACCGTGAAAAGCAATGAAATGTAAAAGCCCAGGTCACCCCGTTGGTAAGAGTCCTAACAGGCACACAAGCCCTGGGTTTGGTCTCAAGCATCACCACATAAACCAGGCACAGTGACACACATCTATAACTCCAGCACCTGAAGTTTCCTGGATACTTGTTTAGCCCAAGGAACCAGGAAATAAATGTATTCGGGGCTCTGACGCCCTCTGCAGCCGCACCAATAGAAGGAAGAGGCAACTTCCTCTAAGCAGGACTTCTGTCAAAGCCGTCCATTGTCCTACTCTTGATTTTTCAACATTAATTAATGTCTTAATTCAAATGAAGACAACCAATTAAGCTGCCATATAATCACCCTGACAGGTCGCTGTTAGCAGGAGGTACAAGGCCTTCAATAGCAAGGTCTCCAAAGAATTGGGATACTGTTCTTCTAGAGGACCTAAATTTGATTCACACTGGTGACTCAAAACCAGCTACAACTGCAGCTCCAGAGGAAGCTGAGTCCTCTGACCTCTGGGCACCTACATAAAAGTGCATACACACATGGACACACACAGATAATAAAAATACATCTTTAAAAATAATAATTATTGATCCACATCAGGCTGAATGTTGACTGAGATAAGGTGGTGTACACGCCATTCTGTCAAAGCTTTAGCTAACTACAGACAATGCTCTTCATCAGCCAGGCCCTGGCTTGCAGGAAGAAAGGCCGAGGTGCAGCATGAAGGGCACCCAGCACTTGTGTCACAGGTACGGAATGCAAGCTGAAGAACAGTCCTGTGCCAACACTGTAAACGTTGTCCCACTGCAGTGACACGCCAATCCTCAGCAAGAACAAGCTCCCAGCCCTCTCTGGCCGAGCCCTCTCTGGACAGAATCTCAGCTCTACTGCAGGGGGTTCACTGCCTTCTTCCATCTCTTTACAGCCGTTCGAGGAGAAGTCTTTCAAAGCCATTAGCGGCCTTTCCGCTTCTTCATTTTCCCGCCGGCCACCTTGTTCCTCACACCAAGGGCACCTTCCGTATCATCCTCATCTCCCGCGTCCTCTCGCTTGCGTTTCTTCTTTTCTCCATGCTCCCTTAACTCCTGCAAGGCAGCAAACAGAACGTGACTGAACCTGAGTTAACAGCATCCCCCCCGCGCCCCTCTCTTTACCCACAAAGGCTAAGAATCAACTCCAAAAGAGCAGAAACGCTGACCTCATACAGAGACCAAAGCGTGAACAAGAAGTAAGACTGGCACAGATGAGGTCATATGACCCGCTGCAGCTTTTCTAAGGGATACTCAGGCATCCTGTATGAATTTACACTCTGACTGCAGATATACTCCTTGGTCACTCTCACTTCTAGAAGTCTCCTTTAAGGAAATAAGCCAAGGTATACATACATACTAGGATACTCAACACAGCTCTAGTTAGAGTGGAGAACACAAACCTTCCTCAGTGTAAACTGTGTTCCATGCATGCGGTGCAGCCATTAGAGAAAGATTCCATGTGCTGGACCTGGTGAGGCACAGCTGAAACCCCAGCATTTGCAAGGCTGAAGCAAGAGGCTGGACACGAGTTCAAGAGCAACCTGGGCTACACAGCAAGTGCAAGGCCAGCCTGAGCTACACAGCAAAACCTTGCCTCAAAAATCTAATAATAGCAAAAATGTCAGATGGCAGACAGGTGGGTAAAACTGGAAAAAAATCCTATGGATTTATATTTGGTGAAACACAAAAATGATAGTAACATCTAATTAGGTAAGTTCTAACTATGGCTAAACACCAAAAAACTAGCTGATGCCCTCAATGGTTCTCCCTAGGGCCTGGTTTACCCCGTCAGCTACTATTTTAATTCTTTCTATACTTTGTGAAATTTCTCCCCAGGCACAGATCTGGCCTAAAACTCTCAGTGATCCCCCTGACTCAGCTTCAAAAGTGCTAGGATCATAGGTATACGCCATTATACTTAACTACAGGTAGCAGTTGTGTGCATGTGTGTGCTCATTTCTCTGTGTGTGCACATGCAGGTCAAAGGACAACTGTACGTCATTCTTCAGTGTCATCTACCTTTCTTCCCCACAACAGATAGCAATTTTATAAACAAAAACTCACACATAAATTCCATGTAGCAGAAAACCACAGCAAGACTGTATCTCAGTTATTTAAAAAAAAAAAAAAAAAAAAAGTTCCTCCACACTTCAGAGTTCTCTCCAGGAAGGATACACACTTCCAGGGTTCCCCCTAGTATCTTCTCTCATGCTGCTACTGCCACTCACTACCCCTACTAGACTCGTGGTTCACATAAGTTTGTCTGGTGTTCACAGTACACAGAAGGTATTCAAGGCAAACATTATATAGGTGAGGAACTGGCTCTGAGAAGTGAGGCAAAATGCCCAAGCTCACTGTAACCACAGCTAGACTTCTGACATTGAGATTGACCTTTAGAGGGAGGTGGGGCAGGGTGGGGGTGGGGAGCATGACACATAAACACTGGAGGAGAATGTGGCCAGCCTCGACTCTGGACAAAACATCCAGTGTATGATGAAGGCACAGGGAAGCTCATCAGAGGCCACTGAGAGCAGCCGCAGCATACCATCCGGGCAAATCTCTGGGCTTCGCTCACACGTTCTGTGAGCATCATGACCTCCTCATCCTGTGTCGGAAAGACAGGCAGTTTCTTCCCAATTAAGTGCTCGATGCGCTGGAAGAGTTCCACATCATACCTGAGGAAGGAAAAGCAGCTGGCTTTGCTGAGCTGGTAAAGCTGCTGGCTAGTGCCATGGTATCTATCACATGACAGAATATGGGTCAGTTTTCAACAAGGCTGAATATATGAGTCCTTCTCAAAATACAGGTAAAAATACCACAGTTGGGAAATTACCCTCAGAATGTTTTACCTACAGAAAACACTAGGTATCCCACATTCAGTCATATGCAGTAGCACTAATTAGATTCAATGGGTTACAGAAAAAAGAGGACAGGAAGGGGAGAGGGGATATTTGGGGGAATATGATCAAGACACATTGTACACATGTGTGAAACAGGACAAAGAATGAGCTTTTAAAATGGGACTGGAAGGACGGCTTGCTGCTTAAGAGCACTGATTGCTCTTCTAGAGGGCCATGGTTCTGTTCCCATCACCCATGTGGCAGTTCATAACTGTCTCTAACTCCAGGTCCTGGAGATCTGACTTCTAGCCTCTGCAGGCACAAGACATGCATGTGGTACACAGAAGGCACTAAAAACACCCATACACATAAAAAATTAAAAATAACAAAGTCAGACATAGTTATTCTAGCCGGTCAAAATTAAAGGAAAGGTCACTGCTCCCAGTTCTAGTACTCCAAAAAGCAGCAGGTGCCACTTGTGCTTCTACATGACATGACATGATGTATGAAAACCAGGGTTGGAGAGATGGTAACCACACACAGAGCCAGCCAGCCACACAGAGAGAGCCAGGAGAGACTCTATATGACTAGCACTGCGACAGGCAAAGGTTCCAGTCTCTGTCGCTCTGTCCCAGTGTTGATTTACTCACTGTGTTACAAAAGTAATGGCCTTCCCGGAGCGCCCAGCTCTGGCAGTCCGTCCTACTCGATGGATATAATCCTGGAACATAAAAGGTAAATAAATTCACATCGAGCCAAGAAGGGATGTGTGCAAAGTCCTGCTGCAAACCTCTCAAAGAAAACACATGCCTTTGGAACATGAAGGACATGGTCTGGGAAATTTGCTGAGAAATCTTTTGTTTATTTGTTTATGACAGAGTTTCTCTGTGTAACAGTCCTGGCTGTTCTGGAACTTGCTTTATAGACCAGGCTGGCCTTGAACTCACAAAAATCCACTTGTTTCTGCCTTCTAAATGCTGGGACTAAAGGTGTTCGATATCACCATGCCCAGCTTCTTTTTTAAACAACGTTCTCGTAGCACAAAATTCATCTAATGCCTGCTTTCTTTTTTTTTTTTTTTTTTTTTTGGTTTTTTGAGACAAGGTTTCTCTGTGTAGCTCTGGCTGACCTAGAACTCACTCTGTAGACCAGGCTGGCCTGGAACTCAGAAATCCACCAATCCACCTGCCTCTGCCTCCCAAGTGCTGGGATTAAAGGCGTGTGCCACCACTGCCAGGCCTAAAGTTGGTTTGTTTTATTTTGTTTTGTTTTTTGCCTGCTTTCTCTTATACAAAGACAAACCTATAATACTTATCCACAGGGTTATGGCAATGCTGAATCAGCTGGAGATAGATGGTTCAGTGGTCAAGAGTGCCTGACTGCTCTTTCAGAGGTCCTGAGTTTTCAATTCCTAGTAACCATATGATCGGGTCACTCACAACCAACTGTAGTAGGATCTGATTCCCTCTTCAGGTGTACATAAAGACAAAGCACTCATGCATATAAAATACACAAATAAATAAATCTAAAAAGAAAGAAACAAAGAAAGGCAGACAGACAGACAGACACTGGATCTAGGGGTCCTACACAATTATCTGCACACCACCATGCCTCTGACTTTCAGTTCCTATTTATAGATCAGGGCTAGAAATGAATGCACAATCGTAAGAGTTGCTGTGAATATCAAAAGAGATCACAACTTAACTGTGAGAACTCAATAAGGAGCCAAGTGAAACAAAGGTCCACAAGGGGGGACATTTGGTAGTGCCTGGGACATTTTTGGTTGTCACAACTAGAAGAGTGTGAGATACTATCTAGTAGACTCAAGGAATGCTAAGCATATTATATACAAAGAACTCCCAAGACAAAGAATCCACCAGTCCAAATGCTAACAGGGCCAAGACAGAAATGCTGAGACACTAAGCAGCAGAAGCTGTATTTGTAAAGAGATGAGACTGGCATGGTCAGCATCTGCTGTATCTGCCCCTTGGACTGTGTCCAGTAACTCTTTCTGGGTATCTTCACATTCATATCTGCTAATGCTGTAAACAGGCCTGTGCAAACGGTGAGAATAAATCAGTCAAGAGCTTTCTCAGTTGCTGCTTATGAGACCAGGTCTCATGTAGCCCAGGCTAGCCTTACATTTCCTATGTCTCTGAGGATGACTTGGAAGTCCTGATCTTCCTACTTGTACCTCTGGAGTGCTGGATTACAGACCTGTGCCACCACATCCAGTTCACTCTGCTACAGCTCAGACCCAGAGTCTTTTTTTTTTTTTGGTTTTTCAAGACAGGGTTTTTCTGTGTAGCCCTGGCTGTCCTGGAACTCACTCTGTAGACCAGGCTGGCCTCGAACTCAGAAATCCTCCTGCCTCTGCCTCCCAAGTGCTGGGATTAAAGGTGTGTGCCACCACTGCCCGGCTCAGACCCAGAGTCTTACGAACGCCGGGTAAGTGTTCTATCAAATGAGCTTTATCCATCACTTCCTCAGCTTTTGATACTGAACTAACAGAGGGTAAAACAGTGCATCATAACCAGGAAAAACAACAAAAGCACATTATTTAGCAAATGAATTTCAGAACCAGAAGTCCAGACAACAGCAGAACCCACCTTAGAATGAGTCGGGATGTCAAAATTGACGACTACATCCACATGGGGTATGTCCAGACCTCTGCTGGCGACATCAGTCGCTAGGAGAATGGACCGTGCCTTCGCCTTAAACTTATTAAGGGATCCAAGACGCTTGCTCTGAGAAGAGGAAAAGAAATGAGAAACTTTAATTCTGAAAAGATGAAAGAATCCTTGCATACAGAACACGTAAGACAGACAAAATAAACACAACAGAAGTTTATTTTTATTTTTTATACTTTTTCCCCTTCTAAGTCTAGGCTGTGGCTTCATAGTCAAAACAAGTATGGAAACAACAAAAAATACTTAGGACCAGAGAATCAACACTGCTAATACACTGACTCAGAATCTTTCAACCCAGACACCTGGCTATGAAGTGTTCTTCTGTGTCTATGTATATTCACATGAATACTCCTCGGTACACACAGTATGCACATGAGCATGCAAGTAGAGGCCAGAGGACGTTCTTGGTGCTGTGACAATCTTTCTGAGACTTCTTTCCTGAGGATGGAGAGACGTCTCAGTGATTAAGAACATCTTCTCCGCTCCCATCACCCACAGCTCACAACTATCCACAGATCCAGCTCACTGACCTGCAGCTCACTGGTCAGGCTAAGCTGGCTGTCTCCACAGCATGTGTCACCACATCCAGCTTTGGATGTTTCCTGGGCTCAAACTCAGGTCCTCATGTTTGCACAGAAAGTATTTTACCAACTGAGCCACCTCACCAGGCCTATCTCTGTCCTATTGCAGTCTTAGCCACTCGCTGCCTGAAACTGAGAAAGTAAGCGTCGAAAGCAATGCACAAAGCACCTAAGGCAAGGAGGTGCAATGGACCCTGTGCCGTCTCTGCTGCACTCATCTACTGACGCTGGGTAAAGACCTCTTACCTGACTCATCTGTCCATGGAGGGGGATGGCGGTAAACCCGAGATTTCGGAGTAGCAAAGCTGTTCTCTGTGTGTTGTTACAGGTGCTACAGAATATCATAAAGGAGTTGCCGGCCAATTCGTTGAGAATATAAACCAGGTAGGTATCCTAAATCACAAAACAAGCTGCATAACTGACCTGGGAGAAGGGTTGGAGACCTAGCAACATGAGAGAGAGCAGGTCTACAGGAGTGTCTCCATTATGCCAACACCAGCTCTGAGCTTGATCCTTCCTCCCTGCTGCTCCCAGAGACCTTGTGGACAAGGTTTCTGTGGGGACTGGAGAGACCCCTGAGTGACTGTGTAAGGAGATTACAGTCCTGAGCTGTTGTTGACAAGTGAGCTATTGACATGAAATGGCCATGAAGGTCCCCAATACCTCGGAGCCACGGGAACAGCATGCCCTCTGTGGTCAGGCTCAGACACCCATCAGTGTGCTGGTGTTGACAGTGTGGAGAAAACATCAACCACAGGTTCCTCCTCCAGGATGTGTAAAGCAGAGACTGCTCCCTGACAGAGACCCACTCTAGAGAATAGCTAAACCTACTCACGTATACTGTAAAACAAGCAAGCTGACTTTCTCAGCCATTGCTGGTGCAACTATCAGAGGGCACAGCCCACCCCATCCCAGCTATTCCATGCCTGTACTTCCTGATTGCCAAGCTCTCCCACCTAGGTCAATCCCTCATCTGTGCAGGTGTGGCAGGTCTCACTATATCATCCAGACTGGCTTCAAACCTACTGTAAGGCCCAGGCTGGCATTGAACCTACAGTGACCTTCTTGCTTCAGATTCCCAGTGCTGGGAATATAGACATGCACTGCCACACCTGGCTAGCTACTATGTGCTCTGTGAACCAAGCACCCAATACATCCCGAGGTCACACACAAGATCTGCACTTGGCAACCAAGCAAGGTCTTTCCAAAGAAGCCATGAAATAAGCAGATGAAGGAAGATCAACCGCAGGGGTGGTCTGGGGGGAAACTCTACCATTTTATCAGGACTTCTACTTTGCTTTAATGTCATGAATTCCTGGCATGTTCACTTTATCTGTGATAAACATAAGCTGGACATTTGGCACTCGGCTGGTCGAAAGTTGGCATATTCTCAGATGCTTTGGTGAGGACAGGAATGGCAGCAATGACAAAGTCAACACTTTACCTTGAATTTAGAGGGAATAAAAAGGTAATATTGCTGCAGTTTCTCAACAGTCTGGTACTTAGAGGAAACAGCACATTTCACAGGGTTCTTGAGAGCTGCACGTTGAAGTTTTTGCACCTAAAGGAAGAAAACACAATAGCACGTCAATTCCTAAATGCTCAATGTTCTTACTTTCATGTGTTTTCACTATCATTCTAATACATAGTTGTGTGTGTTTTTGTGTGTACGTGTGTGAGACCTCCCCCAAGTTCAACCACAGATTTTCGTATTAGCTACATCTCCAACCCTAGTTTTACTTTCTACTTTGAGGCAGGGTCTCACTAAGGTACCCAGGCTGGTCTTGAACTTACTTTGTGGTCCACACAGGCCTTAAATTTGTGATTCTCCTGCCTTAGCCTCCCAAATAGCTGGGATCCTCGTATACCAATTCCTTTATTTTACTTTTGGTTTTATTATGCCAGTAGGGTTTACCACACAGACCAGCCTGGCCTGACACTGGTGTCCACCCGCTCTTGTCTGTGCCCTCTCTTATAAGGAGGAAAGCAGAAGTCCACGAGAAGCTCACCTTCTTGGTCATGGTAGCAGAAAAAAGAAATGTTTTCCGATCTCGGGGAATCACTTTGAGGATCTTGTCAACCTGGAGCACACAGGAAAGAACACCAGTGACATTTAGACCGGATGTCTATAGATTCTCTGCACAGTAAAGGGGAGGGACACCAGGCAGTGAGACAGGACTGAGAAACCAAATCCTGGAGGTTTAAGGTTTTAAAACGCAATTCAATTTTTCCTGAATATTTATACTTTGATACTAGACCAGACGTTATGCTTTTTAAATGCCATTCAAAGAAAAGAACAATTTAAAGCTAAGTTAAGAAAAAGACCAAAAAAATAAACATTAGTCAACTAAAGAAACGATGCCAAGTAGCTCGGGAAAGATGGTGAAAACACTGCAGGTGTACAGAGCTCAGCAAATGAAACAGAAGCTGCAGGGTTAACACCTCACCTCTCAGGTCAGCCTGGACCACATTCTAAGGGTGAGACGCACCAAGACTGCAGAAAAACAGTGGGCAAGCTGCTGCTCTCACTGAGGCCGACATGGGGCCCTACAGAGACAGGCGCCCAAGGAACCAAAACCATTGTCAAAGAGAGGCCCAGAGAAGCTCTCGGAGCACTGCTATTAAAAACTCACCTCTAGGCTGGGCAGAGTGGCACATGCCTTCAATCCTAGCACTCAGGAGGCAGAGACGGGTGGATCTCTGTGAGTTCAAGGCCAGCCTGGTCTACAGAGTGAGATCCAGGACAGGCAGGGTTGTTACAGAGATACCCTATCTCAAAAAAAGAAAAAAAAAAAAAAAGAAAAGAACAACAACAAACAAAAATAACTCACCTCTGTCTCAAAATCCATGTTCAGTATCCGGTCTGCTTCATCCATGACCAAGTACTTAAGGGCTCTTAAGTTGAAGCCTTTGGTATTTTCCAAGTGGTCAATCAGTCGTCCAGGAGTAGCTACCAAGAAAGATTAAGAAGAAAGGACCCAAGGGTTAAGAAAGGTATCTACTTCCCAGAAAACAGTGAAGACACAGAAGAGTTAAGCAGAGTCACAGGTCCTCTCCCCAGGTGCAACTCAACATGGTAGATTGTCTCCAACCCATCTGTGCATGGTGGTATTTACCTGTGACTCACCTATTACTATATGTGGTTTTTTGGCCAACGCTAGTGACTGAGACATTGAATCAATTCCACCAACAATGACAGCTACAGAAACAAAGCAAACACAGAACCTTCTCAGTGAACACCTTCAAAGCCAATGCTAGATTTCTGCTTACATTTTTTGTCCACCTACCCCCAAGGCTAAACCACAACCCCTGCTTCTGAGGTCAGTACTGTGCTAACAGTGCCTCCTGCTTCCCCTCCCCCACTTGTGATGGCACTCAGGGCTCTGCTCTGCTTAGACACTTACCACACTGCACTCCAATGGATGACCCCAGGGCCTCGAACTGTTCAGAGATCTGAAAGGCCAACTCTCGAGTAGGGGTGAGGACCAGGGCAAACAATCGCTGGGGAGTCTCCAGCAGTGCATTCAGAATGGGCAAAGCAAATGCACCTGTTTTTCCAGATCCCGTTTCTGCCAACCCAATGATATCACGACCTGGAAGAAAACAAAACAAAACAAAACCAAACAAAAACAAAAACAAAAACAAAAAAAAAAACCTCTTAGACAAAGAAATGCACTATGAGCTCCTTCTAAATTTTCTGTACTGACATGATGCTGGGCACAGGGTCTCCCTAGTGAATTAGAGACTGAATAAGCGAAAAGGGTATAGCCTCTACCTTAGATAAGCTAAAATTCAGCAACAGGACAAATACAAAAACACGTTTATGCCCAAAAGTGGTGGCCTGTGCCTGTAATCCCAGAACTCAAGAGGCAGAGGCAGGCGGATTTCTTAGTTTGAGGCCAGCCTGGTCTACAGAGTGAATTTCAGGACAGCCAGGGCTACACAGAAAAACCCTGTCTTGAAAAACCAAAATTAAAAATCAACTTTAAATTAAACCCTTTGTTTTGAGAAATCCGCCTGCCTCTGCCTCCCGAGTGCTGGGATTAAAGGTGTGCGTCACCACTGCCTGGCTTTAATTTTTTTTTTTTTTATGTATGTGTTTTTTCTCTGTCTGTGTATATGTGTGTGTTTCCATGTGTGACCGTGGCAAGTCAGAGGACAACTTGTAGGAATCCGTTCTCTACTTCTACCATGTGGGTCCCAGAAATCAAACTCAGGTCATGACTTTCAGCAGTAAAGCCTTTAACCACCGGGCGATCCTACCGACACAAACGTTTAATTTGGTAAAGCCCTTAATGCAGACCCCCTAGAAAACATAGCAAGTACGTAAAGGGGGAGGCCAGGCTAACAGAGATCTCCGAGTTCCACGTGGAAGTAAGCAAAGAAGGGCAGGACAGCTATTCCTGCACGAAGACCGAGGGCTGGGACTCTAGGAAACAGCGTACGAAAGGGAGATGCGAAGCCCCACCTGAGCTGAATGCAAAGGTGTTATATGGGAAAGGAACGAGGCTAGGAAAGGGCTCATAATCCCCCAGTGCGTTTTGATAAACAGGGAATTTCACGAGCGATGTTATTCTTCAGGAAGATAAGCCTGGATGAGGCAAGGAGCTGAGCCGTGCAGGTGATGAGCACAGTGTAGTCCCACCCACATGGGAGGCGTGGCCAAAGAGGAGCGCCTGGGCCTAGGAGCCTGAGGTCAGCCTGGCCAGCCCAGCAAGGACTATCTCAAACGTAAAAGCAAACCAAAACTGGTTGAAAGAAATGTGGCTGGAGACAGACGAACTTTAGTATGGGAAACTGAAAAGCCAAAACTAGAGGCAGGAACTGTAGAAAAATCAGTTCTGGGAGGGAAGTTAATGATTCTGGATACAGAGAACTTCAGGTTCAGAGAGAGATGGCTACAAGCAAACGGGAGCCAGCAGGCCTTAGCTCATCTTCCTGAAGAAAAGCGGTGTGAAATGTTCCTGACTGCCGTATCTAGCTGTGACCCAGAAGCATCCTCCTAGCCTCCCACTTCCCCTTCACACAAAAGCATGCACACTAGCAATGCAGACACAGGAGCCATGAACTTCACCTGGTTCCCACTCCTGAGGGGCATACACATCAGAGTTACAATCTATGAGGGGTATGCCCCACATTTGAAAACTCGTCTTTTGTTTGCTTTGTTGTTTGAGACGGAGCTTCTCTGTGTCATCCTTGCTGTTCTGGAACTGACTCTGTAGACCAGGCTAGCCTCAGGAATTAGAAATCCTGAGTGCTGGATTTAAAGGCACCGAACCACCATCACCTGGTTTTACACCTGAAAATTCTAACTCGGTAGGTCCAAGTTGTTTTAGAATAAGGAAAGAAAATGATGATAGAACCGCTATTGTAAAAGCAAAAGGGAAGAAACAGTAACTAAAGAGAAAGGCTACTAAAATACTGTGTTGAAATTAAGAGATGACAACTTCAAGAAAGGTGTGACCAAAAGGGTGTTCGACGCTCCGGCATAAGCATGATGGATTCTTTTTCTGTCTTTTGGGTGTTTGTTTGTTTGTTTTTCAAGACAGTGTTTTTCTGTATAAATGTTCTGGCTGTCCTAGAACTTGCTTAGTAGCAAGCTAGTCCCAAGCTCTCAGAAATCCACCTGCCTCTGCCGACGGACTGCTGAGATTAAAGGCGTGCGCCATCACTCCCAGCTGAATGGCGGATTCTTAATTCCCATCTCTCAGAGCTAAATAACTTAGTCAGGATCTGCCATGCAAATTCAGACAGCAGAGAGTTCTAGGGGGTTAAAAGTGCCATCCCTCATTCATTACCATCAGTGTCTACCTCCCAAATGTCACAGGCTTGTACCACCATCACACCTGGCTTTATTTATTTATTTGAGGCAAAGTCTTGCAGCTACTCTCCTGCCTCTGCCTCCTCGCTCTTAAGAACAGGAGTAATCGTGTCATGCCCAGAGAGAGATTATATCTTTACTTCACTTGAAATGTGACAGAAATAGCTCTTAAAAGGGATACAAAAACTAAGTATAAGCCGGGCGGTGGTGGCGCACACCTTTAATCCCAGCACTTGGGAGGCAGAGGCAGGAGGATTTCTGAGTTCGAGGCCAGCCTGGTCTACAGAGTGAGTTCCAGGACAGCCCGGGCTACACAGAGAAACCCTGTCTCGAAAAACCAAAAAAAAAAAAAAAAAAAAAAAAAAAAACTGAGTATAATGTCACACTGACTCTACACTACCCTGCATATTTAATTCCAACCTACCTTGCAAGGCCATAGGAATAGCTTCAATCTGGATCTTGGTGGGCTTTGCCCATCCCAACTGGTCACAAGCTTCACACAATACATCTGTCACACCCTTCGAATTCAGAAAACCATACTTTAGCAAAGAATACATCCTCACTTCCTTCCATTTTAAATACCTTTATCAGAGCCATCCTACTGGTGATATGTAGCCTTTTACAGTTTACATAGCTGTACCTCTCAGAATCTACTTTATATGAACACAATGGGACAGCTACTTGAGACAATTTCTACTCACCAGGGACTGTGTCAACTGCTTTACATGTATCTTCTCATTTAACCCGTCAAATCGGTTCTGACAAGTGGCTAGCTATTATTCTACCAAGTTCACACGTGTATAAAGTGAAGCACAGACCACAACAACTTGCCTCTTGTAACGAGTTCATGCGTGACCCTAGATAACGTAAGGCTCTACACTAACCGGAGAGAAAAGCAAATGGGGGCTCTCAGGACCCTGCAGCATGCTACAAGGCAAATGCACCCGAGGGAACGTGAAGAGACCCCGAGTTTCTAACAGCCTGAAGAAAGCATGAGCTAGGCCCCAAGGTGTTTTTATGTACTACAGGCTGGAATATAAATTACCCAAAACCTGGGTGAGCCTAACGCCAACATCACAAAATAAATACCAGCATCACCCGTTCTCACCAGGTCTTTAAATGTTTTCGTTTCCTCCTCTGCTTGAGCTGTCTGAAGGGCTTCTGAGGGAGAGTCGGGTTCCTCGTCTGACGCCATCTTGCCCGTGGACTCCGGAAGTGGGGGCAGAGGCGCAAGGCGTGCTGGGAAATGTAGGAAATTACTTTCCTAGAGTGTAGGTTCTGAACGCCTCCTGCTGGCTGCTCTGGCGTTGCAGCGCCCCACTCAGGTGGGACTTGGAGGAACAGTAATGGCTCGAAGCCTGTGTGCCTGCCTAAGAAGCTGAACCAAGAGAAGTGACTGATGACCTACCTGCCCATCCCTTTTTGCTGCCCTTTGGGTATCTGCCCTATTTTTTTTTTAAATTGGTTTCTTAAGGCAGGTTTTCATTCTGCAGCTTCGGCTTCCCAGAGCCTTATCTGGTTTACCACTTTCTAACTATCGGAAATGTAAACACATGGGTATCACAATGTTATTTATTCATTACTTCACATATTTGGCAACTGACAGCTTACCATATGCTCGGGCTGTGCTAGGTGTATAGTGATAGGGCAGGACAGTATCAACTTCCATTGCAGAGGGAAGGCAAACAATACAGAGGTAATAATGGGCCACTTTAAATTGTGAAAAGTGCTATGATGTAATAAGCTTACATAAAAATAGGGGAGCAAAGCTTTGGGAGAAAGAGTTGTCAGAATTGCTACAAGATTGGCAAGGAGTCTCTGAGGCAGTGATACTCCAGCTGGGACCTTACTGATAACAGAAAGGCCATTCTGAGTTCAAGGGACAACTATTCAAGACTGTCGGATCTGTGCATACAAAATTCCTGAGACCAGTGAGGTATCTAAGCAGTCACCAGTCAAGCTGAGGTACAATGTATGTTGCATCTCGTGTGCCTGCAAGTGTACCCCAGTGGGGAGGCATTGGAGTTCTCAACGTGTTGGGTATTCAAAGCAGCACTCTTGCTGGAATCGAGGCATTAGAGATGAGCTGGTATCCCTTTCTCTGGCAGAGTGAGTTGTTAAAGTGTATGATGCAGCACATGTTGAACACACCCTTGAGAGTATTTAGGGCTCCAAATCCTGAGGCTGTGAAGGAAAAGCATAGATTTCAAATATGTAATTAAGATTGGGAGTGGTGGCGCATGCCTTTAATCCTATCACTCGGGAGACAGAGGCAGGTGGATTTCCGTGAAGGTGGAGTGTTGGGAGCTGACTCTGAGCAGAAAGTGGCTATCATCTTTGCAGCCATCTCAGGCCATATACCCTGACAAGAGACTTGTTTTCAACAGCCTACAACAGCTGAGCACACTCTGAGAAACATCTTATTTTTCTCCAATATCTTGTTTTGTTGTTTATTGTCCCCAGCTGCAAGGCGCACATGGTAAAGTGTCTTCAGCTGTATTCCCCTGCTTGTGCTTATATATACCTAGGATTTCCTTTTAGTAAAAAGGAGACTTGAACAGATTCTCTGTTTTGTCTCCATTCTTCACGTCTCTTGCCCTTCCATCCCCACTATCTCTCTTGCTAGACCCTGACCCTCAGACCAGAGCAGCAGCTCAGGCCGGGACAAAGTAGCCCCCAAACGTGGGGCAGAACGGGTGGTTACAGTGGAGGCCTGCCCAGTCTACATAGCATGTTCCAGAATAGCCAGGGATCCTAGTAAGACCTTGTTTCAAATTATATATATTATACATATGTATGTATGTATGTATATATATATATATATGCATTTTATATAGAGATAGATAGATAATCTGTGGAGGAACAGAAATTAAGATAAAATGTACAAGTTGAAAATTCAGAAACAAAAGGACAGGAGATAAGAGAATAACTAGAAAAAGCTAAGGGAGGGGACTTTGCTTATGCTTTGACTTGAGAATTGAGAGACACTCAACCCAACAACCTGATATCCACCTCATAGGTCTTGAACTAGGAGTCGAGCGGGTATCCGTAACAACAAAACAAGTAATGAGACTTGGAAAGGTAACTCAGGCCAGACCCTTCAGGGCTGTGGTAAATGGCATGGGGTTTGGGGAGTTATCTTAAACATAAGAAAAACTGAGGGCAGGAAAGTGACATGATTCGTGTAATTAACATGTTGTTCTTAGCCCCAGCTGGAGTGGTGGCACACTCCTTTAATCGCGGAGCTTGGGAGGCAGAGGCAGGCAAACTCTGAGTTCAAGGCTATCCTGGTCTACAGAGTGAGTTCCAGGAAAGCCAGGGCTCTGAAGAGAAACCCTGAAGAGAAAACAAACAACGAAAAACCATTGCTCTCGCCCACCATGAAAGGAAACCGTGGAAAGAGACTGTGCCAGAGACAAGAGACAAGAGACGATCTTTGTTTCCCTGGCTCTAAAGACAAAACGGATGCTAAGGATGTGCTGCAAAAAGATATGTGCCACCTCGGTGAACTGAAACTCGGCAAAGCGTTGGGAACTGGGGACCATGGCTGACTAAAGGGATTTCTCTGGCTGGGTTTTTTTTTTTTTTTAAATCAGTGGTCCTCAACCTTCCTGATGCTGTGACCCTTTAATACAGTTCCTCATGTTGTGGTGACCCCGAACCATAAAACTATTTCATTGCTACTTCATAACTGTAATTTTGCTACTGTTACGAATTGTAAATATCTGATACACAGGATATCTGATATGTGACCCCTGTGAGAAGGCCGTTCAACCCAGAGACATACGTGTTGGGAACCACTGCTTTAGAAAGTGATTTTTTTTTCCCCACACGTTCCTGAAGAACAGACTGTGTCCTTTGGTTTAGTTTGTTTGTTTCTCTTACATTTCATTCCAAGTTAAAAGAGGAAAACCCCTTCTGTATAAAACAGGACAGCCCAATATAAATCCCACCAGACAGTCACATAGCACATGGTTGGCTGACAGAAAGCCAAAGGCGTTTGCCTCTCTACTTTTCCCTTCCTGTGACCACATTCTATTTATTTTATTTTATTTTCTTCTGCATTTCATGTAGCCTGGGATGCTCTGCCTCAAATACTTTGTGACTCAGAGGCTGACCTTAAACTCTTGATCCTCTTGCCTCCACCTTCCAAAGGCAGGGAGGAAAAGCGTGTGCCACCCTGCCTGGGAACTAGGCCACTGGGGAACTAGTGTCCCTGTAAGTAGAACATACTCTTTGGAAGAGGGAGTTGACTCATCCTGAAAAAGTCTGACCACCACCATAGTGAGGTCCTTTCCACCTCTTATCTGCTGTTACACAGATCCCCTGAGGAAGCCATTCTTCTTACTTGACCAGTGAAGAACTTAAAATCCCACAGGAAAAGGAGCTGTGTTCAAGATCATGAAGCAATGTCACAAGAACCAAGCCCAGAATCCAACCCTCTTGAGGTCTAGACACATGACCTTACTTTTTCTTTTATTCTCTGTCTCTGTTTCTGTCTGTCTCTCTGTCTCTGTCTGTCTCTGTCTCTCTGTCTCTCTGTCTCTCTCTCTCTCTGTGTGTGTGTGTGTGTGTGTGTGTGTGTCTCCCTCTGATAGATAGGTAGCTCTAGTTGTCCTAAAACTTACTCTATAGACCGAACTGGCCTTGAACTTGCAGATAATTCAAAGAGACCCACCTGTCTCTGCCTCCCTAGCGCTAGGATCAAAGGCCATCCCTAGGTGCAACTTCAGTAAGTTTTCTGAAGACCAGCTTCCATCTGCACAGCTACACTCAGAATTTTACTAAGCTATAAACTTAGATGCATCATCTAAGGTCCCCAAATTTCAAGTCACAGAAAAGGAAACAAGCACACATGAGTTGTCTGAGAACTGAGTACTGCCTTAACACCTGTGTGTAGTGTGAGCTGCTGGGCTTGTGATGTCACACATGCATGAAACAAGCTTTTCTACCCTCACCCTCCCTCACCTGGCCCCTGACCCCTGGCTAACACTGACTGCTGCTTTAAGGGAACTGATTTACACCATTTGCTTGCTGTTGATAAAATTCCATGAGCCAGAATCTCAGTCCATGCCTATATTCCCAGCTTTTGAGAAAAAGAGGCAGAAAGATTGTGAGTTCAAGACCAGCCTCTGTCTCAAAAGAAATGAACTGGCCATGGTGGTGCCTGCCTTTAATACTAGGGCTCAGGAGGCAGAGGCAGAGGCAGAGGCAGAAGCAGATAGATCTCTGAGTTCAAGGCCAGCCTGGTCTATAGAGAGGGTTTCAGAACTGCCCTGGATACATAGCATAACCCTGCCTCAGGGTATGGGGAAACTTCTCCAATTTAGTCAAGCAAGGATTCTTTTTGTCTATTCTTGGATAATTCAGACACAGGCTATTTTTACAACTTCCTCAAGATACCCAGGGCCATATGGCACGCAGTGACAACAGCATCTCCGTGCCTCTATTCCCTGGCCTGTGACCTGCAAGCAAGCTTTAAGCCTTCAACTAGCACTTACCCTGGGACAGTGTTTTTTTGAACAACTGGGGTGACCACAGATGTGTCGAAAGAGCAAAGCCCACATAAGTCCACTGAGAGTGTTGAGTGCTTCAGCGTTCCCATAGGCCTGGAGCAGCTTGGATATTTATATTCTGGTCACGGAAACAACAGGGACCCATTCTAGTAACTGAGCCCTGTCATATCCTGTATTTTCAGAACAATAAGGACGGTTAGAAAGGAAATCTAAATAAAATTCTCAAACTGGTATAGAGCAAAAGCAAGCCTGAAATGATAGGTTAGATGCAAACAAGTTGGAGTGGTTGATTGTTATCTTGTTCTGAATTTTTTTTGTGGCTTTGGACTCATGTTGATGTGCTCCCTCTGTCACGTATATAATAAATAGATAATATACAATATATAATATATTTAATATATAACATACTATTTAATATATAGTACTTAAATTTGGGTATAGCACCACATGCCTGTAACCTCAACTCTCAACAGGCCGAGATAGAAGGATTACCATGAGTTCAAGCCAACTATAGCTATATGGTGAGACCTTGTCTTAAAGAACCAAAATATTTTTTTCAAAATAAAATTTCTGTTTTACAATTGTAAAAAACAAGTATAGCATTCTACATTAGAATTATTTCAGGCCGGGCGGTGGTGTTGCACGCCTTTAATCCCAGCACTTGAGAGGCAGAGGCAGGCAGAT